TTGCAAGAGAAAAGACTGAACACTTCTCTCTTGAGGGAACGGATCTGCTTGTGCTCGTAATTCTGATACATGCAAAGACTATCCATTATGACATGTAGGCATTTTTATATTTATGTACACAATAATAATGTTTTACATTTTAATCCTTTAATTTTTCGTTTTTAAAAATGTTTGTGTGCTGCTGCGCATCCATGTGTGTGTAATAAGCAAAGCGTACGCACGTTGTGCACCCGCCTATAGGCGCATATTACTAACGTGCTCTTTAAATAACAACATAAAAAAAATAAATAAATAAATAAAATATTGCACCAGACTTTAGACCAGGTTTTTGTTGGTAAATGGTGCAGTCTATTTCAGTTGCCTCAAAATAGCAACGTGCCAGCAATGCGCCTGAAAACACCTCGTTTTCAGACCAGCATGCCTATGGGTGCAAAAATGGGCACAAATGCATTTGCTATTTAAACAACGTGGCGCAGGACATGAAAATGACAACTGCGTCGGGCCGAAACTAGCAAAAAACACTTGCGTCGCACCTGGCGCCGCATTGCGTCGGGTGTATGGTAGGGCCCTAAGACTAACACTTACTCGTAGTAAAAATCACTGTACTAAACAGCATTGAGTGGCTTATTCTGTTATTTATTTATTTACTTATTTATTTTTTAACAGGTATTTCTGCAGTGAATTCGAATGTGTCTTTGCAGTTAGCAGTCTATTCACTTGAGCTATGTGAACTCTATACCAACACAAAAAAGTGCATACAAATTCATTATAAAAGTACAAATATGATATTAACAAAATACCATAGTGGAGATGCAGATTGTGGAAAAAATAGATGTGTGAATACAGAAGCACTGATACACATGCAGAATTATAAGTAAAATATTCTCTCTCATATGCATATACAGTACACAGATGCAACATTATGCATCACTTTCACTTCATCTCCAATGTCTCTTATAATTGATAATGAGAAAATTTGACTTCTCTCTCTTATTCTCACACACACGCTGACAGAGACAGAGAGAGAGAGAGAATGAAAAAGAGATGAGCAAATACAGAATAAATGGTCTGTTCTACTAATGAAATGCCATCCAAATACAAGCTCTTTTAAAAGCAATCATTCCACTGACACATTCATGGCTCTGTTCCAAAACCTTTTGAGCTGCCTTGCTATCTACTGCCTACACAAGCAGCATACATCCAAGACAGCATCCAAACCAACAAAGGAACCTAATTAGGGGCTGATTTGAAACATCCTACATAGGCAGCATCACACAAGATCATGCAAATCACGATACCCTAGCATAAATACATTTCTGACAAGTAAATATTAGATAAAACAGTCCATTTTTAATTAGACTTTTAGACTGTTTTACATTTATATAAGCTTAAAACCAGATCCATTAAAAGCAATCACAGAGCAGGAGCTACTGTAATAAAACATTTAAAAAATATGGCTGTGTTATGGTAGGGTTAGGTGAGGCCAGGTATAACCCAGGTGCGGGTGTACTGCTGTGAACCTCATGACAGCATCAGCCTGAAGCATATCAGAACAAAAAGATAAGGAGAAAGAAAATAATGGTCATTCTATTCAGATGTTAAACCAATTGACAGAAAAAAAGCCACAAAAACACTCATGTATACATGCTCGCATCTACAGACTACAGCGAAGAACAAGCATTTTTTTAATAGAAAAGTGATACTACAGATGATACTCAAGCAGAATTTTATTTTTAATTAATTAATTTATTTATTTTGTGCCACCGTTGTTACAGTTGTGTGCATTTGCTGCTTTTGACTACTAAGTGTGTTGTAACCATGGACTTCTACAAGTGAGAAGGTGAATGCATCAAAGCGCATTTTTGCAACTTTACAAACAAGCTAGATTGGACAGTTGCAGTCAGTGAAGAATGCAAGGGAAAACACTATCGTTGAAAAAAAAAATCAAATTCATGAGAGCAAAATTAGTAGAATTAATTCAAGAAGCATACTGTAGTAAATGTCAAGACCAAGTGTAAATTTAATTAAACATTGAATAGGTGTGCATTATTATTGCATACTGTTTCAAGTTAAATTCTTCTTGCAAAAAAAAAAAAAAAAATGTTGCATAGTTTTCCAAAACATGGATTAGTATGCTTTGTGTCAAATTGTGACAACATTATTTAATATTTGTCACAAATACAAACAATTGAAATTCAAATCTAATTATTCAAAATGCTATGCATTTCAATAGGTCATGCATATTTTTCCTATTCATTATCTTTCCTTTTTAACACATTTAGTCCTGTGCTACTATGATTTAAGAAATTGTTGACCACTTTCGTTTCTTCATTTGAGTTAAAACATGAACACGTTTTAAGAATTTCCATAATTTAACTAAAATGACAGAACGGACAAGTAAAATGTGGCCAGTATGTAAGTAACATGAAGAAACTAAAAAGAAGGAACAAAGAAAGAATGTACATTTAATTAGACATCAATATTTTTTTTTTCCACATGTAGCCTTTTGGGCTAGTAGAGTACACTATGGAATGTAAATGATTGTTATTTTAACTGATCTGTTCCAAAAACTAATCAGCTACCTACCCCGAACTCAAGCTAAAGGCTGTTCCAAATGATAGGCAGCAACATTATCCTGACACAAAAGCTAGTGCCACTGCTCTAACATGATTGGCCGAGCACGGATCCAAGATGCTTGAAGAAGAACACTCAACTGTTCCGAGTGTGATAGAAACATGTAAATGCCCCAGTACTAAACACATTACTGGGGCACTGAAATGATTGTATCACTCTATTTGTTGATGTTACAGACCAGAGTATTTGAGTAGTGTAAAGTGATTGTGGAGCAGCTAGCAGAGTTGTGTGATTTTGCCCGTGGCAAGGTTTTCTTAAAAGTTAGAAAGCATATGCTTTTTCTCAAAATGAGTTGCTTTTGAGGTTCCATTAGGGTTAGGCATTGACATGGAACACGACTGCTGATGTAGATGGTAGACAACAAGGTAGCACACTACATGCACACTGTAAAGAGAAAAAAAAACAAAAAAAACAATGAAATGCATAATTGAACACAGAATAAAATGCCTGTGAAAAACTAAAACCAATTTAATTCATATTAACACAGTACATTGTGCTGTATTTTTCCAGACTGTTCTTAAAGTGCAGGTTTTGGAACAAAGACATTGTCATCAAGATGTCAAATGGCAAGATTTTCTGTGAATAACAGCTTAACCCTTAAAGACCTAGAACATTTTTGGGGCACCTGACACGCCTGTACTTTTCTTTGTTTTTTCAGATCTATTCTAGCAGTGAGCATCAAGTGCCATATATCATTATAAACAGGAGCACTTGAAGTTTCAGTCTAGTTAATTTAAAGTCCCAATTTTCGCTTTGGTTTCTCTAAGAATTAATGAATTTCCAGAATTTTAAGAAAAACGCAAGCAATAATTGGGTGTTTTTTTGCTGTGTACTCAAACAAAAACTCCTGAAGTTTGGATATTTTTCTTTAGAAAGTTTTTTTTTTCTACAAATAACATTCCCCAAGCAAGTTATAGCCATTTATTACAATATTGTTATAGGCGCTTTTCAGTGAAAAACAGGTCTATTTACTTTACTAACAACATAGATGTGTCCAAAAACATTTAGGGAGTAAAGAAAATGGAAAACGTGTTATATAATAACAAAATATACAGAGTGCAACAGGAAAAAATTGTGCAAATGATCTTTTTGAACTATATAAGTATTATTTACATAATATAACAGCCAAATTATTCAATTCGCTGGTGTCACGAATCCGATTCATGAATTTCCATCCACTTGCCACCAGAGGTCGCCCTTCCATGATATTGACTCTCGCACCACACAGACTGTTACACATCACCCTGGACTACATTTCCCATGTTCCATTGCACTGATTACACACACCTGAAACCAATTACACGCTCACCTGAATGCTATTACACACACTATATAACACCTACCCTGATCCTGCTCTAGTCGCCGAGTATTGTTCTGCATTTTTCACTCGTTTAGCGGATAGCTACCTTACCGAGCCTGTTTAAGTTTTCATAGTTTTCTTAGTCTAGTCTTAGTCTTGCCTTGTCTGTTTTCCTGGTCTCTGATTCACGCCACGTATCTTGGATTAACCCTTTGCTTGCTGTTTCTGACTCTGTTTGCCCCTGCCTGGACCTTTGCCTTCTACCTGGATTTATCTCTTGCCTTGCCTTCGATATACCTGTTTGCCATTGTCTGACCCATGCCTGTTGAAACCACGTCTCTTAATACAAGCTTGCATATGGATCCGCATGTCTCTCGTCTCATAACAGCTGGCTGCACTCTGCGTCAGAATTGATTTTACCGGGACATCGCCTAGCGACGTGAATACCTAAATTCCAGTGCTTTATCCGATATGTATTGCTTTTTCATCCTTGTTTGTTTTATGCCAAAGTGCTCTGTCCTGTGTTTTTCTGGGCTTTTTCAGAGAGTTACACACTTTACTTTCACTTTGCGTTTGCTCAGATTTTCAAAGAAACTTGCTAAACAATGGTTCAAAAGACCAAAACCTATATTTATTGGTTGAATATGTGACAGTTTGAACCAATCTGGGCATGGGGGTGGGACTAAGCATCAACAATCGTTCCTGTTTGGCTCAGAGGACGAAATGCATTGGTTTCTTCTTACGAATCAATGTTGTCAAAATGTGATGACGTAATCACGTACACTTCGGTACACATCTCTGCTTTACAACACTTTTTAAAGCATTTCTAAATGAAATTTAAGTCTGTTTCTCACAAAAAGCTATTGTATGTGTAGCCGGGTAAGGTATAGCCCAGGTATGATTGGCTGATGTCATGCCAGCCTGTGAACCTATCAGTGTCCCTACACCTTTTTGATTGGTTAACATGGTTTAAATCCTATGAACCTATCAGTGTTGGCATTTGATAATATAAAAAGGGAAGGGTTTGATTACTCGGGATGCATCATCCTTGGTACTAGATCTTTGTGGAAGGACGTCATTATGAACAAGGGACGGGGCTTGGTGCATCCTCCTGTTGTGTTTTAGCAGTTAAGCCTTTTTCAGGTTAGTCTCCCAGTTATAAAAATGATTGTTTTGTTTATATAAGGAGAGTCTTTATTTGTCGTTTTTCTTTTGGTCATCAGCATGCTAGTGGCCGTGGTCTTGCGTGATTAGCTACCATGCATTTTGCTACATGGTAAATCTCTCTCGGTATGTATGATGGGAGCTTGTCATGTGTTCTAATGAGTGTAATATTGTAGATAATCTGTTTTATGTTCAGCAGGTGTAACTGCACATCCAGGGGTTTCCAGTAACTTGGTTGGAGACGACTGTACATCAGAGATGTGACTGCACTGCTGCTTTGTTTGTTGGGTGACTGTTTTAACTTTGTCTGTCTTGGTCTTATTTTGGTTAACTTGGTTTGTATGGGTTTTCTTTTATTCATCCATGAGCAGCCATTCATTAACTTGAGTGTGCGTTAGCAGGGAGACAAGTAAAATATTTGGCCTTGGTCGGCCATTTTGTTCCTCCCATTGGTGCAGATGACTTAATTTTTATTTCGTTTTTTTTCTTTGTACAAGTAGTTGTCGAATCTGTGTATATGGACTCTTTTTTTGGAGTAGATTGTTCTGTTGTGGTATGAAAGTGAGTTTTGTATTTTTGAATGTGTTTTGAAGTTTGTACCGATTAACCATGTTGTCATTTAGGAGTAGAAACTTAAAGCGGGGGTTGTAGTCTTTTAGCGTGTCCACATGGAGTGCGGTGCTTAACCAATTGTATTGCTTTCACAACTGTGTGGTGTGGGGATGGTGTGAGGTGAAAATCCAAAAGGCCCCCGCTGGCCAATTCTCACCTATTGGTCATTTCTGTAACTGGTAGATTTGTGTATCTGATTGATTTAAGATTGTGTACAAAACCAATGTGTCAAACTAATGTTTCATTTGTGTATAAATAAATGGCTTAATTTTTATACTTCGCCCATGTCTCCATGCTCACCCTGCCTTTGCCAACGAACCTGTGTGCCCTTGTATAGGGTTATGTCCCGGTATATTCCGGGTGGCGTAAGTCTATTATAGGATTTGTACCCGTTGTTTTTGGTAATTTCACCTACCTGACCACTTATTGCCACATATGTCTTCAGACTATTTGTAATATGGACACTTTTTATGTTTATGGTGTTATTTTTGGAATTTGACAGTCCCATTCCCCATTTATACAGGTTCAGAATGGCGTGAGGGTGAGTAAATGATGGCAGAATTTTTTTTGGTGAAGTATTTCTTTAAAACTGTTTGAGAGTACAGTTTGACACACTGGGAAGATATCTCTTGAAATGTCATATCAACTGGCTGAAAGAGAAAATATAGCCACAACACATACACACCCAATTGAACACAGAGAAATGGAGAGCTCTGGAGGATTTTGCTCCGAGACACACTGAAAAGATAATAATGAAGTCCAGCAAAGGAGTAGTAGTGTGTGTGACCTCAATGCTAAGGATATAACCTCTAGAGAACCTCCACACACACTCCCAGTGCCATCAGCTGTTGGTAGCTCACAGTCCTTCTGACAGCAGTTAACATCTAGACAGGAGTTTGAGAAAATGCCACTTCCTGTTACAGTACAGCGGCAGAGCACCTAGGAAGTGAACAGCTCATTATTCCACAGCAAATGTTACATTCAAAATCCATCTTTGGATGCAGAGAACCATTGAGTGATTTAGAGCCACTGCGCTACAGTTAAGGTCACATTTTACGATCACCAGCTCCATTTATGTCCTATTAAATATCATTACATGCTTTACGTAGAAGCTACAAAAATGGAGACAGAGTTATAAAGTTGCTGACATTTGGCTGATTGAAAGTATAAAAAAAAAAAAAAAGTGACGTGACATGTGGCCAAGTATGGTGACCCATACTTGGAATTAATGCTCTGCATTTAACACACACCGTGAACACACACCTGGAGCAGTGGGCAGCCATTTATGCTGCGGTGCTCAGGGAGCAGTTGGGGGTTCGGTGCCTTGCTCAAGGGCACCTCAGTTGTGGTATTGAAAGTGGGAGAGAGCGCTGTACGTACCCCCACCTACAATCCCTGCCGGTACGAGACTCGAACCCGCAACCTTTTGGGTTACGAGTCCAACTCTCTAACCATTAGGCCACGACTCCCCTGAAGTTTGGATATTTCCAAACTGGAATATTGGATATTTGGATATATAGATAAAGACAACATGAAATGACGTTCACAACACATTTTACACTATGCATTATATTACAGTAGATGTTTCACCAGTGAGTGATTTTTGAAGGCTCTTAACTGAGTGAAATGGACTTTTCACGCTTCATTTTTCCCTGTCTGTTGCCAAGAAGATCTATGCATTTACGGCTCATTTTAATTAAATATCATTTACTTAAATATTATGTTTTAATTTCTTTAAAGTACAATAGGCAAAGGAACTGTGAACAATGCAGGGACACTTTTTAGAATGTAAATAGTTGTTGTCGTTGCTAGGAAACGCTTGTTTTGTTTACTGTGTGGTGACGTGCTGATATCGCGTTTGGTCTCGTTCTGTATCGCGTATCTTGTCAGTGTCTGCACTTGCTTGGCCATTTGTTGTGGAGAAAATAAGGAAAGTGTGTCCAGCTGAATTAACTTAGTATTTTGGTAGACGGGTATAAAAAAAGCTTAGTTTACCACGGTCGCGTGAAGGCCTCCTCGTGTGAAGACCGAAGAGTGTAAAGACCATCGACTCTACCGTGCGACACCACCGGGCAGGGATACCACCAAAGGATAAGTATCGCTTTTTATTTCTCCTCTTTCCTACTACTTTCATTTGTAAGTCGCTTTGGATAAAAGCGTCTGATAAATGACTAAATAAATAAATAAAAAATAGGATCAAAAGTATGTTTGTTCACTGGTTTCCATTCCTAGTGAGTTTTTCTTTCACAGAACCATCTATCAAATTTGGAAAGTTCTTTCTCAGAGAAAGATACAAAGAAATCCAGGAGTTATCTGTGCAGAGTTCTATTGACATCCACTGGTCTCACCAGGGCCCCTCTCACTATAATTTATTGAAAAACCAGAGAGAGAATATAGATCCAGTGGACCATGCATCACCAAAAGCCTTTAAAGAACTGACTGGAGAAAATCACATTGGTGGCTTTCAATGTGTTGTATTTTGGATATGAAGTGCCCTCTGTAAAAACCAGTTTGGACTCAGTGTCCGTCCCTGTGGCACACTGAGCCAAAACAAGATATTCCAGAGCCTGTTCATTTCCATCATGGTCTTAATCCGAGTGTTTGCCTGAACAAACAGACTGAGCAAATGCCTCTAAGGAGGAGGGAAAAAAATCTAATATTTGTTAATCAGCAAACTTGAAACATGCAGTATGATGAATATTCCCATCAGCCCCAGAGGCCTGCTGCCTTTTTCACTCTCTCTGAATCAAAATCTCACTGGTTCACTCGCTCTTTTCTCTGTACCCCAGCGTCAAAAAATGGTCTGTTGAAAGAAAACAGAACAGAACTAATAAAATGCACAATACGCAGTTTTGAGCATACCCAGAAACCTATTCTGTTTCATCCTTTGCTTTGCTGTGGGGGAAACTGCAGCACCAGGACTATGAGGTGAGTTACAGTGATGAGGATTTGAGCAATATGGCAATAAATCTTCCATTTGTTGTGTGGTATGCTTGATGGTCCATAATGATACACTACACAGTTGTGTGTGCATGGTCTCATAAAGATGACTGTACGTCAGGGAAAACCTCTAGACAAAAGGAACACAGTCTAAAAACCGCAAGAGACAGTTTTGTGTTTAGATTAAATTTGAGACTGAGGCATGTATCTATTTGTAAGTGTTTGTTTGGGAGGCAATCCTGGATCGCTTGGGCCAACAGACAAATAAGAAGTAACCACAAAAACACGCTATTTAAAAATATCACAGACCAACATAATAGTGTGTGATAAAATATTGGTTTACATTTTAATGGTAAGAAAACTAGCTCTCACCTTCTTTTTTTTCTCCTTTGTGTTCCACAAAGGATAAAGTCATACATGTTTCAAGTGACATGAGGGTGGGTAGATGATGATTTTTAAAGGAACACTCCACTATTTTTGAAAATAGGCTCATTTTCCAACTCCCCTAGAGTTAAACAGTTGAGTTTTACCGTTTTTGAATCCATTCAGGCGATCTTCGGGTCTGGCGGTAGCACTTTTAGCTGCAGAGCTAAGCTGCAGCTAAAAGTGCTACCGCCAGACCCGGAGATCGCCTGAATGGATTCGAAAACGGTAAAACTCAACTGTTTAACTCTAGGGGAGTTGGAAAATGAGCCTATTTTCAAAAATAGTGGAGTGTACCTTTAAGCAAATTAATACTTTTTTTTCTACACATTAATCTTGCAATTACAATTATAAAAAGATCATTTATTTGTTTGTTTGTTTTTGAAGTTCAAAATCCACTTAGCTCAAAAATCTGAAGGGGAATGTTCAAGGAAATGATAATTAGAATAAAAGGGGGAAGAGATCTGGAATTCAAACTGCTTTAAATCAGTGTTTCAAATCAGTTTTAGGGCTAAGAGGTTGACCCAACACAGTATCAAAATTGTTCACTGTACAAACGTAAACAAAAATGTCCTAACATAAAAAACTGTTAGGGCAATTCAAGAATGGTTTGATTTGATTCAGGTGTTGAGAATGAGTGGATGCCATGTATTTGCATGTATTTGATAGTTTGATTAGACGACCAGCTGTCTTTTAACATCAACAACACTAAACACAGAAAGTGAAAATTCTGTTAGTGTCTGGGTTGCATTAGTTGAGAATCACTGCTTTAAACTTTCTTATTCTCCCTTGTATTGCAGGAGGACGAATCTTCATTAGAGAGGCTCTCACGTTAGCATTTCAATCATCTGTAATCCTGCTTAGTGCCCCCACCGCAGCAGTCAGTGGATGAGGGAGGCGGATGTCTTCATGGAACACCCTCTTTTTTTTCTTTTTTTCTTTTTGCTAATGTGCTATAGCAATGTAAGTGCTGAAATATGTGGTGTAATGTGTTATTTGTACACATCCGAACATCGGCCAGGCATCTTTCAAAAACAGCACAGCTGTTGATCATTTAGCAAATATTTCCAGGTGAGAAATCGAGCTGAGAACTGACCTGGATTCAGCAAGGGAAGGCATGCGTTTTATGTAAAACGCCACCTTTCCTGTGTCCCAGGCACTGCGGTTATCACTGTGTACTGTGCTGGTGTTTACTCTGTTGGCAAGCTGCCAGAGTATTAACAGAAGGAACCATTTGCCTCCGGGCCTGCATAACACCCCCATCCCTTTCATTTTCAATTTTACAAAACTGATGTATGTGCAGTTGTTTCCTCCAGCACATGCATAATTAAAGCTACAAAACGCATACAGATTTACGTATGAAAAATAAAAAAAATAAATCCAGCAACTGACTCTATGCTAGCATGCCAGATATAGGTACAGTCAGGTGTACATAATGAGAGTAGACTATTGTGACATCTTTTGTTCCAGCCCACATCTTGTTTCCCACAGTCTTAAAAAAGACTACTGTTGTGTCCAAACATGCAGTGTTGTAGTTGAGACTAGCTCATTCAAGTCCAGGCCAAGACCTGAACAGGCTAAATCCAAGTCAAAGCCAAAACCAGAAGAAGTTTGAGTCTGAGTCAAGACAGAGATCTGAAGAGAGTCATTTTTGAGTCAAGACCAAGTCCAAATTGATCCTAGTCCATGACAATACCAAGACCAATGTAAAAATATGGTCTTGGACTCAAGACAAACTTCAGTCTCAAGTACTACAACAGTGCTTC